GAGGACATGACATGCAAAGGGCAAGGTAAATGTGTTCATTTTAGGATGAATTGATTGTTGATGAAAGCAGCTAAGATATGCATAATTCATTCTAGTGCAAGGAGTTAAGTGAGGCATCAGACTGCTTGGTTGTGTGCAAGAGACTGAAGGCGGAGTGACAGTGAGACATGAAGAGGCAGAAAGAGAAATAAGCCCTCCATCCATTAGTTCATTTGCCAAATGGCTGCAACTGCTGGGAGCTGGGATAAACCAAGGTTAGGAGCCAGGAATGCCATTTGGGATTCTCACAGGGGTGACAGGGGCCCATTACTCATAGCCTCCCAGGTGCAGTGGCAGGGAGGTAGACCAGAAGCAGAGCAGCTCAGACCAGAGCTGGTGTATGGGCTGCCACTGTCTTAGGGGTGATGCTGTTGTCTCTGGGGAATGGTGGCTAGAGATGGGTGATTGTGTCCAGTCCCTGCCGGTGCATGACAGCCAGAGCATCTTTGGGATAGTCTGTGTTTTCTAATGCATGATTACCACCCTGCAATATTCACTGCCCTTTGTTTTCCCCTTTGTTTTTCATAATAATCGCAAAGAAATCAGTTATTGAATGCACCTGAGACTGGGGGAGCTGAAGGTTGTGGAGAACCTCAGTCTCTGGATGTTCGCATCCAACTGTCTCACTCATATTTGGAGAAAATCACAGAAAAACCAGTTTCTCCCCCCCATCCTCTCCTCTTGCTCCAGCCATGAAAGATAGCTGCTCATCCTTGATGATTTCCTCAATGTCAAGCCTTCACCATGCGCAGCTTTTCAAGGAAGTGAAGTTACAGTATGGATTCTCTGTATTAATCATTTCATATTTTACCCACTTTTGGGGAGCACAGAATAAATGAAAATTTGGGCCGAGACTGGAATTTGCCAACCCCCTGACTTGAAACGTGAGAGCCTCTTAACACGCTAGCCTGTTACAGAAGATGCTTGAAGTCTGTGGCTGCAAATGTCGGAAGGCACAGAGTGCACTTGGGTTCCTGCTTTTCCTATATATATATATATATTTTATCTCAGTATTTTGGACCCAGGGTTGTATTCCAGTGTAGTTACTTGGAGATGGACACCCATGTTAGTCTTAGAGGGTGCAATGTAACAAGGCTGTGTCCTTCCCATTCTTTTTGGAAGGAACTATAGGTCAACTGTTTCTTTCTTGACCAGATCCAAAGCAATGACCCTCATGTATTATCAGGATATTCAGTGCTCAGATGAAATCATAAATACGCTCATACCAACACAGCACTGTCTGGGCACATGCTCAGAATTCATGTGTTTCTCTTAGGTTCATTTAAAACAAAACAAAACAAAAAAAAAAAACAAGAACAAAACACCAAACAGGCTTTGGTAAGCTGCCCATTCCACATCAGAATATCCTGACTTTCCTGGAGCTGTAGAAAAAACGCCCCCACAGGCTGGCACGCACCATTCTAAAGTTCATGTCTTTTTACAGTAACACGGAGGTAGGCGCATTAAATCATTACACCACATTTCTGCCTATTTTTGAATTCTCTGTTATGAGTCAGCCCAAGCCTTCCCCTTCCCCTGGGCCTGACTGGAAGTTCTGGAGAGTAAAGTTGACATGCTAGCAAAGGTGTCTTCTGACACCCTGAGCAGGTAGGCAGGCGGTAAGGGGGGAAGCCACCAGGCAGGCCAGTGAGGACATTGGTGATGTGCAAATGAGGCTCTGGGGCCTGGGGGGCCTGGGGGGGCCTGGGGGGCCTGGGGGGGCTTAGCGGGACCTGGGGGGCCTGGGGGGCCTGGGGGGCCTGGGGGGGCCTGGGGGGCCTGGGGGGCCTGAGGGGCCTGGGGGGCCTGGGGGGCCTGGTTCCCAGCCTGAGTTCTACACTTTATCCTGGTTGTGATCCTGCTGGGCTGAGTCCTCCTGCCATTTGAAGTCCTAGACCGGGAAGAACCTGACCTTTGGCCTTGGCCTTTCACAGCTTGATGTAGGCTGATGAGGTCTGAATGAGAGTCCGTGAGATGGGTCTGGGGCTCAGTTTGCTTCTGAAAGATAGCAGGTGACCTTAGTGCGTGCCCCATTGTTGAAATGTGCTGTGACGGACGGCTTATGCCATCACCTGTGATGCCAGCATCCCGCATGGGTGCTGCTTCGGGTTCAAATAAACAACATACTTTTTTAGAAGAAGAAGGACATGTGCTCCAACATGCTTGCTGCAAATGGCATCTAAAAATCTGTTTATTTTGACAAAAGAAAGTTTTGAAATCCAGGCATGGTTTTCTCATAACATAGAAATTTGAGAATGTTCAGAAGACCGGCTGTACCTTGGTCGAGGTGTGTGACTCTGGGTCATTTGGTTGGTTGATTTGTTGGTTTTTAAGGTGTACCTTACAGTCCAGGTGACGGCAGCCTCGGGTTACTCTGAGTCATTCTGGAGCTAGTTGCTTCTTCTTGGAATGAGCTCAGTTTCTTCTACATTCAGCTGGATCTTCGTTCTAGAATCTTCCCCACTGATGGTCGCAGCCACGGGCTGTGTTTGTGCTGTGCCGTATCACAGTCTTCATTTCTCAGCAGTGTTAACTCCAAGCGTGTGAGACTTGGAGAGGGATGTGTGCTCCCCTTATCTGCAGCATTTCTGAGGATTTCCATCCCCGCCCCCTGCATCAGCCTCAATTAACTTTGATTTCTTTCTTTAGAAAACCATGTGGTGAATTACTGCTTTGCCAGATGTGCAAACAGACTGCTCCACATCAGTCTCTCCTTAGAAAGAGTTTGGTCTTTTGTCTCAATTTGTGCCTACAGCTTTGTTGATAAGAATATCTTACTTAACTGGGTGATATGTTTATATTTTTAAAGTTATGGATTTGGATTTTTTTAACGGGTTGCAGTTTAGGCCCTTTTCCTTTTCATTTAACTCGTCCCTCTTATGCAAGCCGTCCTGGCCAATTGCTGATATAAATCACACACTTCTCCATATTTCCCATCCTTGGGGAGCCAAGGCTAACATTACGTAGTGTGTTATTCTCTTTCAGGCCTTGGTGGAGTCTACAGGCCCAGAGAGGAGGGATCTGGGCTGCCAGCAGCTTTTTTTTTTTTTTATTGTCCTGAGGATCTAAAACCCACTCACGACCCAGAGAAGGGAGGCTCCACTTTGCACAGATTACCCAAGCAGCTTTCATTTGTGCCATTAGGAATTAGCAAGACTGTAATGGGTGGGAGGCACTTGTTTTTGAGCCCTTAGGTGGTGCCATATGTGACCGGAAGAGAGAGAGCCCTGAGTGTGGAGCCAGGGGGACTTTCTACACACTACACTTCCATGCACTGCCTCGTGAGGTTTCTGCTACTCGATGTGTGTGCCTCTGCTATGTGTGCAAGGTGCCTTGTATTCCCCTGCACCTGATTCTTTCGGGCTGCTGGAGCTCATCCCATTACAGGCTTGGTATTCCTGTGGAAGCCCCTTGGCCTGGTCTCCCCTGAAGTGCCATGGAACAGTGACCTAAAGGATTTTAACGGAGTCAAGAGCCACTTCCTTAGCACTCTGCAAGCCACAGATCAGAGCTGCTTCCTTTCGGTGTTTCCTGCTGCTTGACTTAATGCATTAGGCGGAGATGTGGATGCTGGGAAAAGCCTTGGTCCCTGGCTGTGTGGAGGGATAGAGCTGAGTGTGTGCTGGCCTGGGAGAGGGGTGTTCTGCACAAATGCCTGTGTTTCCTCTGGATAAAGAGGGCAGTTCCCATCTCAGGAAGGCTGCTGCTGATTGGGGGCAGCCTTATTCCCTGAAAAAACAACTCAGTTCAGGAACCAGAGGGAGGAGATGATGTCGTCACATGCCCCAAACCAGAAAACCAAGAGGGACATCACAGCTGCTTGGGTGTGAGAGACGCGAGTCATGGATGCCACTGATGACCAGCTCATTCAAGGCAAAGTCTGATCTTTCTGGATTGCAGGTTCCCCCAGGCTGACAGAAGTGTGTACCTGGAAGCCCCCAAGGTCCCATCCCCGCTGTCCTTAAGTGTAAAACATGAAATGGCTCCATCAGCATTTACTTCTCACTGGTTGACGGCGTTTCTGAGGATGGCACAGGCGTGCACATGCAGTGCTTGCTGCATTTGAACCAGATACAAATGCTCTCACCATAGCTCTGTGCTTGCTGCACATCCCGCACAGAGCCGACATTTTCAATTCAGTGCTTGGTGCCACTTTGGGCACAGACAGGAAGTAAAGTTCGCCCCAGGCTAGCAGGATATACTACTGGAAAAATAAACCCACAGAAAACCCAGTCAACGGGGGCACGTTGCTATTTCGTCTTAGCAGAATCATGCAGAGGAGTGAAGATATTAACAGAAAAGGAGCATAAAAGAGCTACTCCCGGATCCAGATATTTTCACCCCTTTGGTAGTTGCAGGCATCTGGATAGTTCATAGATTTTTTTTTTATTCATTTAGCATCCAGATGTTCACCATCATGGAACTGTATTTTGGCTAATAGCTCAGAGTGCAAAAACCCGTGTCCACGCCGATGGTCTCTGGTGCTCCATTTTCCCCTCACTCTTAGAATTCACTTCTTCATCAGCATGTCCTGGGAATGTGGCGATGTTGCCAGATGCTTAGGTGTTAGCCTTTGCGTTACTTTTTTCATCTTCGTGGCCCTTCTGTACCTTGTCTGCTTGAATTATAGATTGCATTTGTCAAATAATGACACATGCAATTGGATGTCTCTTAAGACCTTTGAAATTCAACTTCCTTGAGTTGAGATTAAAGTGAGTATTATCTGCCGGGCTGCAGTCAATCCTAGGACTCTTGGAGACCCACTCCAAACTTTGTCTAGGCCGGCAGGTTCCAATTCTCCCAAGCTGCAGCGAAGAAAAGGAGAGTAAGATACCCTTTTATTGGGAGAGGTAGAAATGGGGGCCATAAAAATGATCTGAGATGCTGGTTCGACACAGCTTTGACAGCGGTGACTTGTTGAGATCTGACTGTGTGAAACGTGTGTCTGTCTGGGTACACAGGAGGCGTTGTCCGTCGTGAGCGAGGACCAGTCACTGTTCGAGTGTGCCTACGGGACGCCGCACCTGGCCAAGGCCGAGATGACCGCGTCCTCCTCTGGTGACTACGGCCAGGCCTCCAAGATGAGCCCGCGCGTCCCTCAGCAGGACTGGCTGTCTCAGCCCCCAGCCAGGGTCACCATCAAGATGGAGTGTAACCCTAGCCAGGTGAATGGCTCAAGGTAAGGGTGCACGGACCCCACTTCTCCCTGCCTTCCCCTTTTCCGTGGTGGGAGCGGGCAGTGAGCCTTTCTGCAAAGGTTGCACCTGTGACATAGGACGACCTGGAGGGGAGGGTGTGCTCTGGGGATTTCTGCTGTGGGTGGAGGTTGTAAAACTGCCGGTTTTCTTTACCAAGGGCTCTCTTTGAAGAAGTGGTGTGCGATTCTCCTTCCTCTTCCAGGCTTTTGGATGTGTAGGGAGTGTGTGCGTTGGTGGAGAGGGGTGGGGAATGTGCACACATGGCAGTCTTTGTCTTGGAGAATCATGCTGTCTTGTGCCTTCTATGAAGGCAGAGTGGCAGCTGGTGGCCAGAAAGCATTGTCCCTGGGAGTAGTTCCCAAAAGTCCATGGAAACTTGGACTTAAAGCTTAAGGTGCTTTTTGTTGTTGTTTTGTTTTCTTTGATAGTAAAACAAAATACTGGAAATCCATGCATAGCTTTTGCATAATAAGCACCTCTCATGATATTTGAGGACCTTTTGCATGCATAGATTTCAACATAATTTTCACCAAAACAAACTTTTAATTCTGCTTCCCTGGGAACTTTTGAAGATATTCTCAGCGTCCAAGCTTCTGGCTCACCTGATGTTTCTCCCGTTTTCCTTCTGCCTTTTCTCTCCTTGCTGGACCCTTAGTCCGTGCTGTTTGTCCCTTAAAGCAGTGACCCCACAGCCATCTCTCTGCTTACTCCCGTAAGTTTGTCATAGTACACAGCTGCCACAAAGAAGGTATTTTCAGATGCAGGCTGGTTGGCACCAGGCAAAATTGTAAGAAGTAAAATTAATTTCTATTGTGTTGTAATACAGCTGAGCATCCTGGAGAAGAAATGTGAAATCTCAGGACCGAGGAAAGAACTTGGCTTTAACTGTTGCCCAAGTTTCCCAGCTACCCTAGAGTCAGGAGAATAGCTCCCGTCCCCTGACCTTGTCCTATCGCCTGCCCGGCCTGCCTGCGGGCCCATGTGAAGAGCCTGTCCCCACTCCGTAGAAGAGGATCTTCATGAACAAGCATTTGCCAGCCAACCTAAAGTTACCATTTAGGGGATTTAGAATTTGGATCTAAACCAGCGGTGTCGGACTCCTCACTCAGAACATTTTTCCACTCCATTGCAGCTGTAATAGAGCCACTTTTGTTGCATGCATGTTTTAATGCTAAGTATATTGAAGTGATGTATTTTCGAAAGTGCTGGAAACCATTGCGTCAGCTGCTCCTGTGGTGGTAATCAGGGTGCCAAGTCACACAGCCAGCCCCTGGGGCCAACCAGGTGGGAAGGGAGGAGGAGGAGCCCCTGAGAAGTCAGCTCGCTTCTGTGGTGCTCCTGGAAGCAGGAGGGACTCTCTGCCCTGTTGGATGTCTCCAGGACGTGGGTCCTACATGGGGAGTTCCAGGCAGGCACGTCGTGGGTCTCAGGGGTGGCACTGACAATCCAGAGTTCTAAAAGGGTCTCACAGAGAATGCCTTCAGAGGGCACGGGTGCCAGTGTCATAGGAAGTTAATACTTGGATGTCCGAGTTCTGCTGGTAAACCGTATCCAGATTGGCTGTTTCCATGATCACTCACTGACAGCACGGATTTCTGAGACTTCAGACAAATGCAGTGCAGTTGTGTTGTCAGGAGTGTAACAGTGGCCCAGGCAATGCCTGGGACTCCCACATACCATATGAGACTGTCCAGGTGCCAGGCCCAGCTCTGCTGCCGAGTCTAGCTTCCTGCCCGCGAGCACCGAGCAAGGCAGTAGTGAGCGCTCCAGTGGCTCCTGGCACCCACATGTGAGATCTGGATTGAGTTCAGACTCCGTGCTTTGGCCTGGTCCAGCCCCAGCTGCTGCGGGCATTCAGGGAGTAAGCCTCTGTGCTCTCTCTCTTCTCATGTGCACCAAGACACGTGGTCTTTAAAAAGCCCACAAAAAATTAAATCATGATGAAAATTTCTATGCTTGGATATCTAAAAACTTTCGTACACAAATAAACTTACCTTTGTAAAATATTTGCTTTTATTTGGAAAGGAGAGTTATAGAGGGAGACAAAGAGAGACCTTCCATGTACTGCTCACTGCCCAGATGACCGCAACAACTGGAGTCCAGCCTGTGTGAAGCCAGGAGCTTCTTCCAGGTTCCCATGTGGGGACGGGGACCCGGGGAGTCAGGTCAAACTCCACTGATTTTCCAGACCATTAGCACTGATCTGGATCGTAAGTGGAACAGCCAGGGCTCAAACCAGCACCCGATTGGGATGCCAGAGCTGCAGGTGGATGCTTAGCCTTCTAAGTCAAGATATAGACCCACAAACGTTATCTTTTAATTCATTTTTTTACAACAGTGTTTGAACATGCCCTAGGACACTTGTCTGTGTGCCTGTGAAGTGAATGGCAGTGTTGGAGATACGAGGGGAGGGGCCAGGAAGGTATTCCAGGCAAAGGGCACTGGGTTAGCTGCCAATGGTGATTGGCAAAATGAGCCATCACTTGGCTCTTGCATGGTCAGTTCTGGGGAGGCCTGGCTCACAAAGGAGACCAAGAAGGGAGCGCCAAGAACCTGGTGCTGCAGAGGTAAATGTTTCTCACTGTGGATTCCGTTCATGGGGGGAAGCCCAGTATTGTGTCCCTACCTGTGGGCCCATGATGGCTGTCTGTGGCTGACATTCCCTGCCCCATTGGCTGGGCACTGGGGGCCGGGGGGTAGCCTCTCTGGCCTGTGGCAGTTCCTTATGGCCTCAGCAGGTAGCTAAGGATTTCAGCCTGCAAGGCAAGCAGGAGGATAGCTCCCCGTGACTCTAGCACAGCCCAGGAGAGGGCTCTGAGAAGCTCTTCCTTCATGTGGATGAGAAGGTAGGTGCTGGTTTAATGCCCATGATGGTCAGGATCTGGACGGGCCAAAGCAGGGAGCTGGGAACTCAATCCAGGTCTCCATCATGGATGACAGGAGCTAGCCAGTTAGGCTGCTGCCCAGGGTCTGCTCTCACGGGAAGCTGGAGGCAGGAGCCAGAGCAGGATTGAGTCCTGACATTCCAAGGTGGATCACAGGAGATCACTGGCCAGGCCCCTCTGCAGCTCTGGCCCAACACTTAGGGCTGAATGTGGCTCTGAAGAACAGCAGGCAGTGTGCAGGGCTGATTGCCTCCTTGCCCGAGTTCAGCAGCTCTAAGTACATTCACCCAGCTGTTCCCAGAGGGACCACCCCAGGCGGACATCTGGCAATGCCTGCCGGTCACCAGGAGGGGGCGCTCCGGGTGCCCCGGGGGTGTCACTCAGCTTCCTGTGATGCCGGAAGACCAGCTGTGCTAACTGCAGCACTGGGGCCACATTCACTTGGGTCTCACCCTGCGTTGTGCGTTGCAGCAAATTAGGAGGAGCTGGTGGTTTATCAGAGCTGACCCGTGATCCTGAGGTGTGTTCTAGTGCGGGGGATGTGGGAAGTCCGGCAGTGGCAGCGAGGAGGATGAGGTGGACTTGGGCTGCACGGGAAAGAGCCCTCGGAAGGATGGTGTTCATCTCTCCTCGTCCAGCCTGCTCGCTGCGGACAGCACTATGGTGGCGTTCATTTTGCAGAGGTGAAGGCCATTGGGTCCCCAAGAGATCATCCATCTTGCTCAATCCCCTGGTCAGGCCATTTGTCCCATGGCCCACGCTGCTCCGCACAGCTCCCCTGGGCTGGCAGGGATGGGGCAGTGAAAAACAAGAAGTGATAATCCTATTCTTTTATCTTGTGATGGGCGTGCAGTCAAAGCGCTGATTGGGCTGCTGGGCTTAATCCTTTCCTTTGGGAAAAGTGTTTCAAACAAACTAAAAAGGAATCAGGAAATAGAAAAGACACAAACATCTGATCATTGTCCTGAAGCTTCTTACTCTACGAAATACTCTCTTTCCGAGTGACGGACCCTAGATGATATCTTGTGGGTTCAATGTGTTCCCCACCTTCAGCTGTAGAGAGAAGCACGCCCCAGAATATTGCAGCTCTCTTGGCAAAACAAAGCCCCAGCTGTAGGTGAGGTGGTGGCAGCTTTCTAATTAATTCAGTCTTCGTTTCTGTCAGAGGAGAAGGAGCAGGCATGGACTGTGGAGAAGAGGCTTCCAGGTGTAAGAGCGGCCATTCAGGAAGGGTGAAAAGAACAGAGCTGCACAGAAGGGGCTGCTCGGGGGGAGCCCGAGTAGGACTCCCCGTGATTCACTGCTGGGCTCCCCTGGCTGCCGGGGCCACAGACTCTGAAGCAGCTTTTCCACTGCCTCTGATTCAGAAATGAAACACGCCCGCAAATTACCCCTGGTGCTGGCCAGACAATCCCCGCCTTGTCTGCACTCCTAAAAATACCTCTGGGGAGGAAGTAGCTCAGTACACGCTGTGAAACCTGATGCGGGGGGCATTTGCAGGATGAGGGCTCCGTGTGGGCTTCGGCGACCCCTGGGGAGCAGAGCAGCTGGTCAAGGGCTGTGTCAGTACTCGGGTTTGAGTCAGGCCCCACACGTCCCAGGTGCCCACAGCATATACCCCTGGCCAGTCCCCTGCAGGTGACGGTGACCACATGGGCGTCTAGCAGAGAGCTGCTGAGGCAAGTCTATTTCTCCTGGGCATTTTCATCTTCAGAGTCTTCTGTTCTACATTTGATTTCCAAGATTTGATAATGGAGGGCAAGTTCTCCTTAATGTGAAATAATCCATATGTATCTAAAAAGTATTCAGGAGTCAGTCACAGGCTCAAGGCTACAGTAAACACGGCCCACTCACCCAAATCAGAGTTACAGGTGCAGTTACACACACATACTCGGCGGGGACAGAAGGAACTGCACACACTTGCATGTTTTTGAACTCATGCATCAAAACATCACAGTTTGTGTAGCTTATTCATCAGCTTCCTTCCAGCAACCTCAAGGAGGTGTCTGATCCTTTCTGTGTAACAGATCAAGTCTCAAGAGGTTAGGTGACTGGTCCAAGGTCAACCAAGGTCAACATTGGCTTTCTGTAGGTAG